TAGGCAACCGCCAGATAATGTCCGAAATTGCAAAACAATGAAAACAGGACATGAAAGAACATCTTAAAGAGAGACGAGCAGCAGTTATTGTTAAGGCTGCAGAGGTTGGCAAAAGCATTCGCAAAGCCCACCGAAGCTTCGTCAACTGCAAGACCAAAATGATTGTTCCTTGACCCCCAAGGAAGAGTTACAGCGTCCAGAATGGCAATAGAGAAAGCCAATCATGACTACTACTCAAATCTCTTCAATAAAAGCGTCCTCCTTCTCTCATATGAAATAAAGGATAATGGATATGTCGTACCACGTGTTCTTCGCTCCGAAATCAGACACGCCGTTTCGTAGGGGAAGAATCGATCAGTACCAGGTTCGGAAAGAATAAAATCCTAACCACCTGATAAGCCTTTCGCCAGTCCTTAAACACACTGGTTAGGGTCATCACACTTTACCTGTTTGGATGCAAGGTCCTTACACAATGGTGGACTAGCAAAACCGTGCTATTGTTCAAGAAGGGTAAACTCCATGATGTCGGCAACCATCTCCAATCTGCTTACCTATCTATCATCTATAAACTCTTCACTGAAGTCATCATAAACATAATTGGAAGGAAAATGGAAGAAGGACAGCCATGCGAGAAAGGGTTTCGAAAAGGAGTCATTACGATGGACCATACCCACTCGATAAAGACATTCAATGAAGTTTTACGAGAGTACACGAAACCGCTTTATCTCGCACTCATTGATTTAAGGAAAGCTCTTGAATCAACTGAGATGGAGGCTGTCATGGAAGCTTTGACATCCAGGACATCCCTAATGAGTATATAAAGATTTTCCGTGAGCTATATAAAAATTTCATGACCAAAATGCCACCATTCCACAACGATATTAACATCGATAAAGAGAGAGGCAGTGTGGGCGCGTGTGGCGCCATGGTCGGAGGCGCTCTTCAATACGCATGAGATCGATCTGCGCGCATGCCTTCCGTCCCACCGGCGTCGGGAAATTGTCACCAAATTTGTTTGGGAATATAGTAGCACTAGCCCGATAGATCGGCAAACAACCGTGAGTCACTGTAAAGGGCAGATATGCTTTCAACCATCTCCAACGATGCTTAGTGAAGTCGAATGCATGGCGCATCTTTCAGGAATTGATCAACGCCGAGAGTTCTATCCTTTATCCTCTTTATTAAAGAGGACGGTTAAGCAAGGCGATACTATTCCGCCAAAATTATTTGTCACCATCCTTAAGAACATCATGTGAACAATAGAATGTGACAACATGAGAGTGAAAATCGATGGTCGGCTATTACAATAACACCAACCATCACCCATGCGGAACGGATGATTACCAATATTGATAAAGCCTGTAGGTTTTCGCGCCCCATTCAAGTGATACTCATTCACGGAAACCTACGCAGGCAAATGCAGGCGCGGAACAATTTTGAGCGCATCGATCATGCGGTCTTTCTTTTTGAGACGTTCGTGTGTGGATCCTAAAGTTAAGTACAGATAGTGTAAGTTTTACTGTTACTCTGAGTAAAGTTACGGAGAGTGCATTGGTTTGTTGTTTTTAGTTGGTTGAAGATAAGGCTGTAGTGTCGGGTATCTCGTCGAAGCTTTATAAAGCTTTTTGTTGATATACGACTTCATATAGTTATGTAGGAAGTGTTCGCTCATCTTTGTGAGCTTATAGGATCTTGTTGAGATTGCAACTAACTTGATGTCATTACGCCACGTTTGTGTCACGTGAGAACGAACTAGCCAGGACAACTCGATATGGAAGGCGTGGAAGTGGTAAGTATTTCCTCTGTCATTTTTTCTTTTTTCTCGGTATTAGTAAATCATTCAGTATGGGTGCAACGTTGTTTTTTTCTTATATGTTTGGTTGCAACATGAGATTCTACAGGAACGATTGATATAGTTCTTTCTAGGACGGTAGGAATCATACTTGACGATGGAGTTTGTGAATACGGATTATCATTGCCTTAAGCGTATAATTTAAATGCATTATTAGCTCTGCGCTCCCAACGGTGTACCGTCTTATCGTGGCTGGGAGGTGCTTCTGGGTGTTGGGCTGCGATGTACAGTGGAAGGATTCATTCACCCAGCAGGGTCTCCCAAGCCGAGAAGGACTTCAGCTTTTCCACTAGGAATCCTAGCTAAGAGCAAACTATTACCAGGATCTGTCACTGTCCTGGTATCAAACCAGTCGTATCGCGAATCTCCCTCTGACCTGCAAGGGCTGCGGCTACCTGTGGTGTTAACGACCTGAGGCAGACTTTGGTTAGGCTGACCTCTGGGCTCCAAGGAAGCACAATAGCTAAACCAGCAAAACTCCGAAAAATGGGCCCGTCCATGTATCTAAGTATATTTTCTACATGTCTTGGAAAGACTAAAGTCGTCGCGAGAGATCGTGTAGTATGAAACGCCCTGTAATTCATTATGCTCTAATTGAGCAGTTACCAGATTTTAATTTATTCTTTATTGACGGAAAAACTGACGTTTCGGCGGAGCTCACCTCTCTCGGAGCTTGGAAATGTTAAGTTGATCGCAATCTACCCGGTTGAAACACCTCCACCCTTTTCCAAGGGATGAGGAAGGCGAAATCCACCAAAACGTCAGCTTTTGTGTCAGTAAAGAGTGAAGTAATACCTGTTAGTACAAAGTCAGTCGAGGACATTGAAACACACAGTTTTCTACGTTGATTTGTTAGGCGTGTGGATAGGGTAATGGCTTTTGTTTTTGAAGATTTATTGTTAATTGTTGATCCAATCTGTGAACCTTTGGAATTGATCTGTATTCCGACTATTAAAAACATATTGATGGAAGATTATTTCTACAGTTTTGAACTGTAGATGCTTCTGATGGACTTGTCATGCTAATAATTATTTCAACACGTGTTCTATTGCGTAATCAGGAGCTACTATACAATTTAAGTACACCTGTATTTGAACGCTTGTGCTGTAGAGTATCATGAGGTGCTTGCCTTTGGAATTTGATATTTCTCTTCCACCAATTTCAGGCGATAGGCGTGAAGAAGAGCAATATTGAAGAAGAGTCGGTGATATTCCGGCCACGGGAAAGCATCTGGCCTGTGCTGCCTATGGATGAAGCGTTGAATTTGTTGGAAAAAATCGATGTTCCAACTTGCGTGAAATATATTCCCATTACTGCTATAAAAGTAGGCGAGTTCTTTTCATAACTAACTCAGAAATAGTTTCTAATTTAACTGTAAAAGAACGGCTTTTTGCTTTATCGGTTTATTGTTATCACTGCTGTCATTAGGGGAACGGATGACACTGTGGTAGTGACGCTGATCGTTACGATCACAGAGCTGATTCAATCCCGCCCCAGGTTCACCAGACCTATCATCTCTTCGCGGTCAGGACATTGGCGACCTTGTCCGTGAAAAAGTCACTTTCTGCAATCCTATTTTGAACGCTCCATCGCGGACATCTCAGGTCTCCAGGAAGAATCGAGTGGAGCAGCAATTTACGACATTCAAGATGAAATGAAAATCCTCGAGCACCAGCCGAAGCCACACGTAAAAGTTGGAAGACTCCCGTGGACCATGGATTCGAGGAAACGAATCGAATGTTTGAAGTCCTTAGATCGGAACAGTAGACGTGTAAACGGGTCATGTAAAGTAAAAACTGCTGTCGTTAACACACGTCTCCTGTGCACCTATAGCACTACATACGTGGATGAGCAGAGTGGATCGTATGCATCAATTTCAATGCAAACTCATTTCTTCTTTATTTTACCGTGAAGAGTTCATTTGCACGCTTTTGATAGTTTATTTAACATAAATTCTGTTCCAGATGTGGTCCTTGAGGAACTATTCTCTACCTTTAATAAGGAGACGAAAAGCTTCACCTATTTGACATGAGGATCCTTTTTGGCTAAACGTATTTGTCAATAATATAGCTACACGTTAGCACCGCCCTCTACAAGGTCATAAGTATCCTCGTAACTGGGTTTTGTTTATCAGTACCGAACTCTTAAGCTTCCGATACCAATCAGTTGTGAACACTGTTGTACATTGCTCTTCGTTTCATCTCGACATTCCGAAATACCCTCAACAACGATAGGGTGGTAAAGCGATTGTGGATTACTTTTAGGGATATCACATTATTATGCTTCTTGTCTTCTTACACTCGATTGAACCCACGTTTGCTCAGTTAAGCAATTGTGAAATCGCGTTTTTTTCTCGTCAGTCAGTGAAGAACTTAGCACGATCTCCTGGCCCGTTTGGTCTATGTATTTATTTGAGCGTCGTTTAGGTTAATTTTAATTCATTGGTGAAGGATCGCCTCGTAAACTAGAACTTTACGTGATTTAGGTAGTGTTAAAGTATATTAAGAACTATTGTTATAATCCCAGTTTGTGAAATGCTGCTAGTAACCTGCTGCATATTAGCAAGTGTAAATTCGAAATTTTCTTAACGATAATGTAGAATGGTCACGGTAATTGTTGTATCACTTGTATTTGTGCTTTTCTTGGAGATAATGGATTTATATCTTAGCCAAAACGTCCTCAGTTTCTCTTTGGGGTAGAAAAAAAATGAAATCCGTGGCCAAAATTATTACTTCCTAATTCTAGATGAAATGGAGAGAAAGGAATTGGAAACGACATGATTTTGGCGTAAATAACATAGGTTATGTGAGTTCAGTATTACTATGAGCAGGTAGTGGAAAATTTGTCGCTGTTCGTGGTGAAAAACTGGGTAGGAAACCTTCGTCTATCTGAAATTTCTGGCCATATGCAAAATGCTCCAAACAATTGTACTTATTCGCTCCGGGTAAGGCTCGAATAGTTTCTTTAAATCTTAGGCTTCTTTGCTTTCATCTTACCGTTCCGAATGTGATGAACTTGAAGAGCTTTCATGTTTATATGGTGTTCGGATGACCTGGACTATTTTTACGTTACTTTACCACCTACAGTTTAAAATAAACTAGAAGTTTAATATTCGCTAGACTTAGAAAGCTATTACTTATAATTTTTTATGTTTTGTTTTTACGATAAATGCTGCTGTTATGGAAATTTACTGAGATCTGTTATAGGACAGGTACTGGCAGAGCGTGTTACCGCAGAAAATAATGTACCGGAAGTGAAAACATCGGTTAAAGACGGATACGCTGTACATTGTGAGTAGTTGTACTATATTATATCGAGATTTGGTCTCCGAAATTTGTTTCAAGTTTTTTTCCTTAATACGTCTTTGACAAGTTTTTTTAAAGAGTAATAGTGTATATTTAAGCCGCAGACCCAGTAGGTTATCGTAAAGTCATTGGATCCTCCACTGCTGGATCACCGTTTCTGGGAACTGTTTCAACAGGCGAATGTGTTCGCATTTGTACTGGCGCTGCAGTTCCAGATGGAGCTGATGCTGTAGTAATGGTGGAGAACACAAGGCTTATAGACCATAATGTTAGTTGAACTTAAAAAACAAATGTGTTGTAATTGTCGCTTCCAAGGGTTTCAAATCTTTCTCACATTTTCTTTCCTTTTGTAAAGACGTTTTAAAGTCTTACTTCTAAAGGGCTTTGAAGAACTGGTCATCAGCGTCGACACTACTGTGGCTCCTGGTCAGGATATTCGGTCGGTTTTTTCTCTCATCGCAAAGGTAGTAGTAAAAAATGACCTTGTTTTATGTGCTATATTAGGCCTTGTTTAGTATGCCAGGAAGTGATATCAAACAGGGAGACTTGTTATTGGACGTTGGCTGCTTGCTTGGTTCAGCAGAAATTGGAATTCTTGCTGGTAGCGGAAAGCGTTCAGTACTAATATATCGAATGCCAAAAGTTTGTGTTTTGTCTACAGGCAACGAGGCAAGTAGAATATTTTGAGTTCTATCGTCGAATATGGTAGTTTCTGATAAGTTATTCGAGTCTAGTTTGCTTATTTAGCTTGTCGAGTGTACTGCAGACGAAGTACCGTTTGGTCATATTCGGGACACGAACCGCCCACAGTTGATCGCACTATTCAGTTCAATGGGGTTCAAGGCAATCGATGCTGGTATCGCTGTCGACAAGTATTTCAATGCCACTTTTTCCTAGAAATTCGATCACAGAAGGAAATCGCTCAATATTTGACTGTTATTGAATAACTGGTTTTTCCCTGTGTTGAATTTCTTAGATTTATTCTTTCTTTGTAGACGTGAATGTCTCGTTGAAGCGATCAGGGTTTCATTTCTTTACGCACATATTCTTGTCACATCAGGAGGTGTTAGCATGGGTGAGAAGGATCTCATGAAAGAAGTGCTCATGAACGATTTCGGTTTCCAGGTATGAAGTCGTTCTCATTGATATTTAGTTAGTCCATACTTACACATGAAGCAAAACTAGGGCCGAGTAAACACTGCACATTAGTGTAGCATTGTAGTTGGTAACTAATTATGTTTGAACCTAAAGTTCTATTTTCCTTTGAATATTATTCTATTTAAACAGCAAGAATGATCAATAGAGCAACAATGTTAACTAGTGAAATGGTACTTTTCGAAGATTTCTAGGACTGCTTGAAAAGGTATCGTTTTGATATTTTACAATGCACGAGCTGAGCACTAGTGTCGAAAAATTATTTCATGCTAAAGATTTTACGTGTTGATATGAAAGTTCATGCACTAAGCGAAATGTACGCTTTGTTTACATCAAGGAAGTTGACATTTTCTTAGCAACGGATGTTTAGATGATTGACCTTGTATCAGCTGTTTATTTAATCTCACTATACGAACCATGTATTTGTGTTCTTAGTACATTCTTAGGAAAGCCGACCAAAGAAATTTCGGTATTCTTATGAATTCTGAAGTTGAATTTAGTAGACTTCCTTGTTTCTCAGCCCATCAAATTTTCTCGTCGGACACATTATTTCCCACTAATTTTCTTTCATATAGATCCATTTCGGTCGTGTATGGATGAAACCAGGTCTTCCAACAACATTCGCAACTGGAGTGGTTGATGGCGAAAGAAAGTTTGTTTTTGCCTTACCAGGTGAGGTACCACCGCTAATCATTCGACTAAAATATGTTTCATTCAAGTTTGTTACCGTATTCCAAATTGTAATGAAGAAATCAATCTTTTCGTGACTTTCATAGTTGCCAATTTATTACTACTCACTTGGATACGTGGTTGGCACGTCTTCACTTGTGGTTTCGTGTTTTACTAGGACAACGAGAATTCTTTGATTCTGGTTCAGTCAGGGAAACTTAAAAGCAGCATAACTTCCATTCCTTTCTCGTGCAGTCGTCATCCATGTGGATGGTCTGCTTCGAACATGGTGAAGTTTCCGAGGCACATCCCGTATTCCTAGAAGCCTTTCCATTTGTGAATACAGCTGGTTGACATTAGCCGCGAACACGTCCACCCACCGTTTGGATGGCCTTCTATGACAGCGCTTGCATGCCGGTATCTGCTCCACTGTTCTTTTCGTCCATCTGCCATCTGATCTTCTTATTATGTGGCTAGCCTATTTTTATCTCACTATCGATATACATACTCCTGGATCCCGTTGCTGGGGTAGGCTTCGAAGATTAAGCTGCACATTGCACCTAGACGTGAATGCTGGTTATATTTAAATATTTTTTTATTTATTTATGACATCGCGTAAGCGCTCTGTGTCTTGCTCACTGTTTTCTTGTTGAGCAAACACGGGATTGTTATGTTGTTCTTTATTTACAAGAAGCCGACGTTTCGGAGGATTTCGCCATCTTCAGAGATCGCAAAGATCGTGTTGAATGCAATCTGTCCGACCAAACACCTACATAATCAAAGCATAGAAAACACTAAATCAAAATTTCAATCGAATTGAAAGCAAAGTAGCTCCTTCGCACACTCGTCGATTTCTATGAGGCTTCTGCTGAGTGTTTCACGTGAAGCCCAACACTATAGAGTTCCTGTAGAAACGTAATATGCCTTTGTCACGTTACAGTATTAGTCTAGGATGCTATATGGATCATGTGTGATAACGAGACATTCCGTCTCTGGGTTTATTTTTTGGATTCTTGGAATTCATCCAGAATGCTTCAAGAGGTTTCTTCGCTGAAGTTTTCCAACCTTGTGCAAACATGGTAACTTCTACTTCAAAACGTTCACCGTTATGTCTGTGTGCTCTATGCGTCCTTAATGATGCATTTGGGTTCAGTACAAGTTTATCTCTGTGTTTAGTTCTCTGCATTCTTGACGTGGTTGAAGTATTAGCTCACGTCCGCTGCATAGCGAGGGCTGGAGGGAGTTTTGAATCGAAAAAGTGAGCACGGAGTTTTGGATCTGTTAGTTGGTAAGCGAATTCCTCGAGAGACCTGAGTGCAACTCACGCTGCTTGCCTTTTGTCTAATTTTTCCCTCATGTTTCCATGCTCGTTGAACCTCCAATGTACATGTAGCGGGTGGTTTCTATAATCGAAGAACAATCAGTTTCTGTTTGTTCGCCATCGAACCATAGGTTGCATGAATAGGGTCCTCGTCTTATTTATGCGCAGTGCTACCTTTTTACCACTTCGATGGTTTCATTGAGCACTGTCTCTGCTTCAGTGGCACTCCTCGGAAATGCGATGATGTCATCCGCGTAACGAAGATTTCATAGAAATTTCTTATCATTGTATATGACCTTCTCGTACCAATTCAGCACCGTCGTTGTTCACTGCATTGCAGCAGTGAACTGCTTTAGCAATGTCGTGTAGCGGCTTCGAACTCCTCCTCTGGATATTTTGAGGAAATGATGAAAAAACTGTATACTTGTGCTGGATTTCCTATGACATCAGGTGGTGCTTTTGTGTAGGACAGCTTCACTCCTTAGTCGACGAACGCTGATAGAACTTTTTTCGTTTCGATGTTGTTGAACGCTTTTTCATAGTCTACAAAAGTCAAGGCTAGAGGCAGATGGTACTCCCGACAAACTTCTATGAACCTGGGCGCGATTTGGACGCGGTCCATGCAGCAGAATCTCAATCAGAAATTCAAGGCAGGACAATCTTGGTGAAGAGCTTATAGAGCGCACTAAACAATCATATCGGACAATAATTACGAAGGGCGGTTCTGTTATCTTTCTTGGGCAGGATAACCGTACACGAACTCCACTGGTCGGGGATTTTTTTCCTTGTGAAGGTCAAATGTCATGTGGGTTGCAAAAACAACATGTAATTTGTACACTTCAGCTTTAAGGAAATCAGCAGTGATATTACCGGGTCCCGGAGCTGTGCCTCCCTTCATACTTTCTATCGCAACTCGAATTTCAGAGAATAGAATCCCGTGACGTTTTTCATTAGCGAAGATTTCGCTGTCCGAAGAGGGGATTGTGAAAGGAAGAGATTGGTACGGAACTTTTCCGTTATCAATCCCATATCATGGCCGGATTTAGTGAAAGTTCTGTCGTTCATTTGGGCGGATAGCTGAACGTTGTAATCGTGAAGATCTAGGCTACACTTCTTCAGTCTTGATCGTTTTTTGAACTGTTTCCAATAGCATTTTCTGCCTATGCCGACGTAAATCCTCCTAAAAAGACATTTACTATCAGCCATGTTAGTTGGTTTCACTAGGATCAAGTTTCAGTTTCCTTCTCTTGTAGAGCAGATCTTTAGTGGTAATGGAGATGCGGTCTGAACTTCTTGTTTGAGGAAATGAATGGAATTCGACGCAAGTTTCAGTCCGAGAAGTAGCGTATAGTTTTCGGTCGCGTTCTTCATTTATCTGCCATTCATATGAGGAGAAGATTTTATTGAGAATATCCTAGTCATGCACTTGTTTCGTTCTTCTTGGACGGTGACAGTTCTCCAACTTAAGCCTGGATCGAATCTTTGCACGGACAGTGGTCAGATCCACTACACATTCCTTATACCACTGAGCTGTCAAAAAGACAGCTTTCTGTTCGTGTGAATATGATCGATCTCCACATGAGTCGTGGCGTTGGGAGGCTCACATGTCCATCGGCGATCGTTTCCTCGAAAAATGAATTCCTATGTAAGGGACATGCTGTGGACGGGAGTCCTACAAGGCGGTTTCCATTCGCACTTCATTCTCTTGGTGCGCGTGCTCGTTTTGTCCATTTCCAATGACGTCCTGTGCAACTTACGATTTGATCGCCTATCACGGGTTGTCTCACTGCCTGATGAAACGAGAGCGACCGGTATGCTGGTTATTGGGAATGGAGATGATTTGGCCAACATGGTTTCCTGCCGTCCAGATGTTAACCTAGGCAAAGCCTTCAGTTCATCATCTCCCCAGACAGTCGCCGCTCTTGTGGAATAGGGAGATTTACCACACTGCAGTCAGTTTGATACCAGTGTAGTGGTGATTCCTGGTATTGCTTTATTCTTAGCTGGGTTTGCCTATAGAAATTTTGGACTCATAGACTTGGAGATGAACTCACTGTGCATCATAGTCCGACACCTAGGAACACCTTCCAGCCGCGATAAGGCGTAAACCCTTGAGAGGCGCTATGTACTATACATTAATAAATGCAGATTCCTCGCATGTCTACCTAGATCCTCCTATAATTACTTTTTTCCGGTATTCTCCGTAGTACATTGGAATTGAATAAACCATCGGTGATACGTTTACTAGTGAAATTTACACGTGTCTGTAAAATTTGAGCTTCAGGAGCCTTAAATAATGACTGTTAGAAGGATGGGTGAATTGTCTTTCGTATTTGTTTGTGTGGAACAAATTAAAGTGACCAGTAAGTGTTAGATAATGGCGTCTAAACTTGTGAAAGAAATGGATGTAGCCGCCTATCTTGCGTGTGGCTAAAATAGTATTTATACGATAGAACTTTTTTTTGTTGGATGTCATTCTGCTCCTTTCACTCACATTTAATGTGGGTGCTCTTTTAGCTCTTATTTTTTGAAATGTGTTTCAAGCAAGGTTTTCCCGTGTATTTATAAGCAAATGAGCTTTTTTTTTTAAACAGTTTCTTCGAAATTAGCGTTTTTGTTTTCAGGCAATCCTGTTTCTAGTTGGGTAACGGCTCAACTCTTTACCGTACCTTTCTTGAGAAAAGCTGCGGGACAAGTCAAAATTTTTCAAAGCGAGATCAAAGTTGTGGTACGTCGGTTTAACTCTAGTCAAGCTTTTGATGAATTTGAGGCATAAGGGTTGGGTATAGATCAGTCACCTTTGTAGTGTATCTTCTTTTACCATTTTTCAACCACTATGACCACTTCGTACTCACTATCTTACAGAAGGTGACAAAAGCTAACCGTCGAAAAGTCCTGAGGATCGTTTCTATTAAATCTTTGGTAACATGTATGACGTTTCCGTTTTCAGCTTGCTGAAGACATTACTCTTGATCCTCGTCCTGAATACAAAAGAGCTTGGCTTCAACATGGAACTAAGATCCCACTTGCTGTTATCACAGGAAATCAGATTTCATCTAGGTGATGGTGTTATACTCGTTTATTTGCTTGTTTTTTGTTTTCATTTAACTATATTCATCTTTTCTTGTGTTTATTCACCTTTTTTTATTTAAGTGAATTTTCGATAACTACAACAGCTTTCATTTATAGGCTGCTTAATCTTTGTGGTGCTAACTTACTTCTAAAGATACCTGCTAAGTCACCGCAGCGTACGACAATGAAAGCGGGTGAAATAGTTGATGCGTTGTGGGTTGGCTGAATTCTATATTGTTAACGACCAAACAACCTTGTGCTGCACGAGCCCTTTGATTCCTGGTGTGCTTACGTAGGTGACTTCAATTTTACGCTTTCGCTTAGTGCCTTTCACTATTGCTTTGTGAACGTTATATGACCTACTTATTGTATGGAAAAGAGGATATTCTATGATTGTAAAAAGTCTATAATAAGCACATATCTTCGGGAATAGCGGAGTTATTTGGTAACTTACGTGGGAAACTATTAGTGCTAATTATTTGTAATGGCGTCGTGTACTGTATTATCCATTCTTCTTGCAAGCACACTTTTGTATTGGTGATTTTTCCCAGTTTTATTAGCCCGGTTTCCTCCCGGTGTTAGCATTTTCAATGATAAAGCTTTTTATTTTGTTTGAGAGTGCTTTCTTCACATCGTATGTTTGCTTCATCGCATCATTTGATATCGATGTATTCTACATATTCTTGGTTTTCAATGTGACCGTACAATTTTGTTTTCGGATGTTCGTGGCCGATTCTTTAAATAAGGATATTGCACGTGTACAGGAGAAACTACGCGAGCTTGACAGCACGATAGCTACTCTGCGAACCAGTAGAAGAGATTTTGATGGGTGAGTTGTGCATGGAGTTTTGGTATTTTTTTTCTTTTGTTAGTTCAGCCTTTATGGATTTTTCATTTTCAGCGGTGTTAGTGGAATCAAACGTCGGATTTCGCAGGAAGGATTTGGAAGTGATCGGTTTAGTAACGGCAGGTTTGTGAAGTTGTTTCCCACTCGTAGGTATTGTTTGTCTTTACATTTTGGAGCGGATTACGGCTGATGCAGTTAAATCTTTTGAAATTCTCAAACACTTACCCTTTTTATCGATAGTTATATCCGCTACTAGCTTTTCTGTTTCTTTTAAACGCCTTGAAGATATTTGTTTTAGTGGTCGGATGATGGTGGTTAGTGACGCCTCGCCGATAGGTTTCAACAGGCGCCGAATTGAGTAAGCTTGAAGTTTTTAGTGGAAAAGTTGTAGTTACAGACGTTTCTAGACATTAGACTACTAATTTTTTCATATCCTGAGGTCATAGTGGTGGATGGCAACGTGCCGATAATTGTGGATCTACACATTGTCTTACCACAATAACTTCTTATTATTGTTCTTCGTTATTTTAATTACTATTCTTATTACTACTTATTAGATAACTGTAGTCGATAATCTTTTTTGATAAATCTACTAGAGGAATCGCATGAGCAATGAAATTGTATGTGCCACGACCGACTTTCTATTAACCTCGGCATTGATCAAGTGATTTTCTTCGTATTTTTGTTGAGCAAACGCGAGGTGTTACTATTCTTTGTTCACGATTAAGCTGACGTTTCGGCGGATTTCGCCTTCTTCAGAGCCGCTTTCTATGAGGTTTCCACTAAGTATGTCACGTAGAGACCAACCGCACAGAAATCACGTGGAAGTATAATGTGCCCGTTGGAGGGGCACATTATACTTCCATGTGACTTGTGAACAGCGTTGTTAAGCAGGATATGAGCTACTAGGATCCAAATATTATTTCCACAAAGGTGAACTATATTTATTCCGATTCCCTGGAATTATGACATCCTGGGAGCAAGAATTCTTACTTGATGCTTGGTGCTTCAATGGCCCTTCCTCATTGGTTGCGGTGCATGCCCATTGCGCGCCCTAGCATAATCTCCACTTTTCGGAGATTTACTGGTTAAGCCATTGTGGTTCCCTGGAATCCCGAGGTCAGCCTGATTGAGGTCTGCACGAGGTCTTCACCACCATAGGCAATCGCTGCCCTTGTGGATCAGAGGGAAATTTGCGTGACTTTGATACCAGGACGGTGGTGCGTCCCGGTGTTGGTTTACTGTTAGCTAGGCTTTCTGATGGAAACATCGGACTCGTTCTCGGCTTAGGAGACCCTGCTGGGGAATGAATTTCCTGCTGTACATCGCAGTTCTACACCCCGGAACACCTCCCAGCCACGATGACGCGGTAAGCCGTTGGGAGGACAGGAATTCGTAGAATATATTTCTTGTAACCGTCTAATTGTTGAAGATTGTTTTTTGGAAGAAGTTGTTGAGTTAGTACGGCAAGTAGTACTTGGTTAAGGAGAGGTCCCATCAGTACGCTAGATGAGGCAGAGTTTTGTAAACAAGTTTGTTCAACTTGTACGAAGGCGCTGTACACTGTCATCGAGGATTGTCGTACGAAAGGACCAGACTGTGTCTATCATGCTGGATACATTTGCTGCAATTTCTTCTTCGATTCCGTAACACCGGTTCTTTGCGGCGATTGTCTTTACAGATCTCGGAATGTTATGGTTATGTAGTACCGATTCAGACCATGAAATCGTCGTCTTAATCTTTTTCTTGTTCCTTTGGAAGTATTTAGTTTCATCTCTGTCCAAACACTGTTCTGAAGTATAACTCGTATATAATACTGAGATATTTGCAAAACTCCGGACCGCAGGTGTATGCGGTGGGGAACGAACGCGCTATTGTCCTTACCGGGGGTAGCGCACTTCACCACCACACCATCCGGGTCCTTCGTTTTGCCTGTTTTCTGCCATTAAAAAGAAAAGGCAGTAAATAAAAGGGTTAAGACTGTTCTGAAGCTTGTGGGTTGTAGTATTTTGCACCAAAGAAACGCAAATTAGACAACATCACAATTGTCTCTTTGTTTTTCGCTCATTTTGTGTGCCACTGTCTGTTGGGCCCTTTTGGGTTCTCTAACTGGCTAACGACAGCTGACTGACTAGCGTCAAGCCCTTTATCTTCTGAAGTTTTTCTAGGGTCATCGTCGATTATCACTTTCAGATGTCAATCGCTTCTGTACCGCATTTTTCATTATCAAAACTCATGTCTCCGGCAGAAAACTGTCTGTGCACAGTTCGCTTGGGAACGTTTTCTTGGCCTTGTGCTTTAACATTTCTGATTATCTGCGCTGTAATATATCAATGAAGCGAAACGATACGTTTCTTCCTTGACGTTTGAATCATTATTTCAACTAATGTGAATTCGTTGTAAATTATGTTTTTTGTTCCACTCACTTTATTCTACAGAATGTTTCGTAACGATGATCGGCCCAGCAAACGTCAACGTGTGGATTACGACGAGATGGATGATGACGATGAGCGCGATAGTCGACCTAAAAGGTAGAACTCAATTTCATCTTCAGGCAGATTAGTGTGAATAAATGTGTAGCAAGAATGTTTGCTATATGTTATATTGCCATGTTTGGTGTTGTAGCAGTTGCTTAAAATCTTGTGGCAGCATTACAACTTTGTTTTATCTACAGGACATTGGCGTCAACCGTGGTTATGCCTTCAATCGAGACGAAGAGCCGCGAGGAGAAAATTGAAGAAATGAATAAAACTGAGAAGAAGGAAGTAACAACCAGGTTGGTGAAAAGTAGGCTTTTTCACTGTTTGATGATAGCAAGAAATATTGATATTTATCATTTACTAGTAACTCCGTTATTTTTAATCGTTATCGTCACGAATTTTATACCGTTTAGTTAAATTATAGGTTAACATGTTTATAGAAATCGTCGTATGTTCTCAAACCTCCTCATGGGTACGCTCACTCGCTTTCAAAGAGACGAGAAAAAGATTCAAAATGTTGAAAAAATTCAGGTTGCTTTGATTCTTTTTTCTCATAGGTATGCTAAGCAAGTCTCTACATTTTAGGCAGAAAAACAAATGGAAGTTGAGAAACGTTTAGAAGACAAGAGACGTGAAGATCGTGAAAAGGTTCGATTGCGTTTTTTTTTTTTTTGGAAGCTGCATTCTAATACCTCCGAATTTGCCAATTAATGTTTTTTCTAAATGCATGAATTTTTATTCTGATATCCAATTAATGCGGTATTAAATATTCCAGATGATGGCTGAACGTCAGAAATTATTTGACGAACGTCGAGAGCAAGAAAGAGAGTTACGTTCACTGCAGCGTAAAAAAGCGTTGATGCAATACGTGGGTTTAAAATATGCATTGGTTTTTCTTCTTGAATTTTACCGATTAAGATTCAAACCATTCTCGTAATTGTCTCAATGTGTACTATTGTAAACGTTTAGGCAGAGGCAAAAAAGGAGCACTATAAGCTGCTACGTAACTTTATTCAAACACAAACTAAGCCCACCATATTCTTCGCACCAGCTAAGCATTCTATGCGCTCGCTTGAACTTCTCAAAGCCTCCGAAAAGGCTATTGATGGTAATTCGTTATTTTATTGGAAGGTTCAGCTGTTTTTTGTACATAAAATAATTGCTGGGATTCTACTTAGATATTTAGATGTCCCTTCCTAATTGCTTGTGTGGGCTTCAGCACAATCTCCATTTCGGAGTTTCGATGGTTCACCCATTGTGGCTCCCTGGAGTCCCTAGTTCAGCCAGGCAAAAGTGTGCCTCAATTCTCCATCACCACAGGCAGTCCCCGCCCTCGTAGATCGGAGGGAAATTCGCCACAATGCGACTAGTTTGGTACCAGGACGGTAATGGATCCCGGTATTCGTTTACTCTTGGCTAGGCTTCCTGATGGAAATGCCGGACTCAGCTTGGGAAGGTCTAATGTGGGGGTGAATCCCTCCGCTGTACATCGCAGCCTTGCACCCAGAAACACTTCCCAGCCAAGATGAGGCGGTAAACCGTTGGGAAGACCGGAGAATTGTCGCTAAAAATACGAGCTGAGTACAAGTTTCTATCTATGGTCTAAAAATTTTGCTTGCTATCGTTTCATAGCCTGTATAGTGGAGCGTAATAATATCCGCACAGCTACATATGCTTAGTTGTTGTTTCGAATTCGACAAATCTTGGCTGTAAACTTAACTAGTCGCTCCCATAACTTTCACTCAGTTAGCAAGTAAGGATTAATGCGGGTTTATTTCAATACATGGGTACGGTAGCAATGGATGCTTTCGACCTTAAGCTGTCAAATCTCATTTCAGTTCATTTTATTTCAATAAATGTAGTGAGCTACCTTTATTGAAATAAAAAATGAGATTCGACAATTGTTTGCTAACAGTAGTGACTTTGTGCAACAATTTTCCAATTTTGCAATTTTTTATGGATGGTCGTATTTAAATATTGAAGCGACTAAATAGTATCTACATTAAGACGTTATAGTTCATAATGTTCACCACTGTTGCGTTTGTGTTGAAAACTTTGGATGCTTAAAACTCGCCCGCATTGTTTGTTTGTTTGTTTGTTTGAAGACCGAAGTTTTAAATTTTCGAAGTGAGTAGTTTAAAATAATTACCTACGGGCTTGAATCTGTAAAGGAAAAGCCTGTTCTATCAGTCGATGTAATTATAAATTCCACATTTACTTGTCGAAAAACTATCGATAGTTGTCAAGCACCCGGCATCATTCGTTATTTGTTATAATCACAACGAAGTGCTTTCGCCACCGTGAATTCACTGGCACGATGTGCATTTCTTACTATTGCTGAGTAGGGTACACGTTACTCATCTCGTAACTGTGCACTCCGTGTACTTTCAACGTTAATTTTTTTATTGTTTATGTTGTTGCTACTATTTATTATTTGTTATAAGGTATTTTCATTGAACACCACTTTTTTTGTGCGTTTTTCAAGACATCATTTGCTTTTTCTCGAGGATATGCTTTTACTTTAGGCCTTATGGAACTTCGCCAGAAGGAGTTAGAGCGTGAGCTGGAGAATGGTGCTGATGATGAACGTGACCAAGAACAAAATATTTCTGAAGTTCAAGACCAAGAGCCGAGTGATTCCAAGGAAATAAACACAAACAGACGCCATCGAGATCGCAGTTTCTCAAATAGTGGTGATGAGAACGATCATGAAAAGAGTCCAGAATTAACTGAATTGCGAGAGAAGAGCGCAGAACATGAGGGGGTAACTGAGAACAACAACGACGATGACGCAATTGGGGAGGAGGAAAGTATTCAACCGGATGAGGAATCGATAGAGAAGGAAGACGACTAAGGCAACTTTGCGGTAAGTATATATTCGTTTTGCTGTTTAGGCAGATTTCCTTACATCGTTCGGGATTCTAACGAAGTAGCCGAAGTGCTGTAGTGGCAGCACATAACAGACTATGAAATTGTTTACTTTCAAAAGCGCACTTTCCGCGTTTTCATTTTGTTCGCACGCTGGCCTCATTGGGTGGATTCATCCTTATCTTTCCTGCTAGATACACAGCACAAATTTTGCACCAGTTTTTTGCTTGTTTAATGGAACCGGAAGTTGTGCATTAAGGATCTTGTTTTTGACTTCTGTTTTTAGTGTTTATAATTTCGTTAACTCTTCTGTTTCTCAATACATTTGCTTTTCGTCTCATGTCCGCTAAAATTCAGTCGATGTAGAATGCGTTAACAATAATGAACATTTATGGATGTTATTTTATACAATTTTTATGTCCAAACAGTATCACATAATCATTATTTGAAGCATTTTCATTGCACAGAAGTCTTGAACTTGTCAAAGAAAATGTGAACGTCAAGAGATCAGTTGAGATTAACATAGGTGTCGTTTCCTTCGCTAGTGATCGGTATGTATCGTTCATGAACCGGTTTTGTTTGTACATGTGAGGTACACGACAACCTAATATGTACTACGGACTCCTCAAAATCAGTTTACTGCTATCTCAATCACGCCGGGAAGTGGGCGTTCAAAGATTGGTGGTTATTGACAGTTGCGTATCGCCTTTCTTCCCCTCATTGAGTCACTAGTCTAACGCCATTACATCGTCTGTTTAATAACTTTGCGTCTATAGTTATGAGACCTAATGTGATTTGTTGCAAAGACATGAGTAGAGTTTTTTTCAACAAAAATTTTTGTGATAATTCGCCCTTTGTATGTAATTGATTTTTCAGTTTTAAGGCAAATGAGATACGTTACCGATTTGTTGAGGTATGGAAACATGTGTTTGGGTACTACGAACCCGTGTAGGGATAGTCAGGAGTTTGTCATAGAATGTTAGATAACAGTATGAGGTGGAGCTGAGTGATTGTTGATGCTTCTTTGAACAAGTGGGGTATGCTCGCCACCATGCCTTCGGGGTCCGTTTGCTCTGTGTGGTTGTTGCTTCACTTGATCCACTGACAGCACTCCTCGCCTTTTCTTCGGCATTTTAGATCGTGCTTGTGTATGAGAATAGAACATTGCAAAGTTGGAAACAATCACCTGGAATAGTTCTTTTCAACACCAAGATTTTCAGCAGTTTTCTTTTTGACATTATCATCTCATTTTTAACGTTTTAAAAGTGTGTTGGTAGCTCACTAAATCAGAATTAACTTGGTACCTACTTGATACTTGAGCAGCCCGTCCTCACTGGTTGTGCGGTCCCCAGCATATCACTATTTTTTGGGGATTTGCAGGTTATGGCATTGTGGTTTCCTGGGATCCCGAGGTCAGCCTGGTCAAAGTCTGCACCAGGTCTTCACCACCACTGTCGCAGCCCTTGTGGATCAAGGGGAGATTTGCCAACATGCGACTTTGATACCAGGGCGGTGGTGGATCCTGGTATCGGTTTAATTTTAGCTAGGCTTCTTGATGGAAGCGCTGGACTTGAGAAGCTTGAGAAACCCTGCTGGGTGGACGAATCTCCCCGCTGTATATTGCAGTCCGGCACCCAGGAGCATCTCCCAGCCACGAGGCGGGAATACGTTGGGAGGAGATCAGGATCAAAGTTTTTATAACTGCAATTTTAAAATAGCAACACTGTGATGTAGAGAAAGCAGTATAAATATAACTCACAGGTACTGGCAAAGCAATGGTGAGTACACCTGCTAGGGCACATATGGAACCGATTAAACGTCCAAGGTATGTGTGAGGAGTTATGTCACCGTAACCGATAGTAGTCATCGTCACGATCTAGAATTTTTAACAAACACTGCTAGCAAAAGAATACATGAAATATTCTGGATTTGTTGGAATGTTCGTAATAATATGGGCCAATCAAACACCTATCTGGTCGTATGACAACATTACCGAACTGGGTAAAGTTGGACGCAAGCAGAGGCATTTCTTTAGGGAGAAGACCTGGTTTTCCATCAGTACGATTAAGTAACGACAGTGTAGTGAAATGAGGTTGCTAGTGTGACATTTAGCGGTAAAATCTAAGTGTCGCCTTGTTGTTTAGATAGAGGAGCTAACGCAATGGTAGCGATCCCGTTCATTAAGTGGACGGTATACCTTATCCACACGATGGTTCGACCTCGAATCGAGCCCACCAAGCCTCCGATTTCTAGAATCGGGAAATTGCTATTAGAATCGTATGGTATCAGTCCTCAAATCTAAGTGGGAACCCTCTGGCATGGCTATCTGGGGACTAGCGGGCGAATCGACTCGACCAGCATTGAATGTCATTCATAAGGACAATTTAGCCTTCCATTCCAGTAGCTGAACTCACACGCAAAAGAAGTACAAGACAATCGTAGCTGGTGGATTCAAGGAGGCGAATCAAATACGAGTGTTGAAATCCGCACAGTGTGACATATGATGTCAGGAAGTGTATAAATAAATAAAAGTGAATGGAGTCATGTTAGATTTATAGTCCGCTTCCAACTACAGCCAGAGTGACAGATTTCAAGAAATCTCCAGCTTGTTGGTGTTTTTGAAACTGTTTGAAGAAAAAACGCAAAAAAAACATTAAACGCAAGTAAGTTCTGTATTTCACCCACCGCCCACCACAGTCCAATTGGTATGCTCTGGAATTGATTGTCTGGATTCGGTTCAACCCGTTCCGCATAGTAGACCAATGAGGCAAAGACGACAACTCCGAGAACAAGGAAAAATACGAGCAACATGAGTTCCTTCGCAGAAGCTCTGGAATGGTATAAATTATTATTGGTTAAAGTGGTGCACTGCGATACTATTCTGTAAAATCATTGAGATTGCTATCTGAACTAAAACTAGTTGAGCGTTTTGTCATTAAACCGTCTACATTCATGTGTTACCTTATTTTTTTTTACCACCTCACTGTTTCAAGGGCTTGTGTCGAACTGAGGTGTACAGCAAAAGCACTGGGGCCGCAAAGTCATCTAAGCTAAGGGGTGCTGCAATCCTATGGGGAGCACCTGAGGGAGAATCTGTACCATAAATTGCCAACGTTGTGGAAAACATTTTGGTGCCATGTGACAAGGTGGCTTAGTTGCAGTGTGGAAGTCTTGGGGTTAGAAACATTCTCTTGAGTTCTTACCTTGTCAGTGCTTTAAAAGAAGTTCAGTTTAAGCAGGAAGCATGGTCTTCTACAGGATTCTTTTTCCTTAGCATAGAAATCTTGAAAAGCCAACCGATACATGATTTTATTCATTGCCTACAGAGATCAATTTTTTAGCACTCTTAAAACAAGAAAAAGGAAAGGATGGTTATTAAATAAGTAATAGGTTAATATGCAGTGGTCTTACCACCGTTTGTGTATAACTTTCTGCATCAGCACCTACTGCTTGACCACCAAGTGTGGTTTGAACGGTCAGCAGCATTGTTTCCACTCAAACTTGTCGAATGATAGAGCTACCATGTGGGTTGCCTTCAATCGAGGCATCATGCAAAGGGCCATCACACTTTCCGTACATGCGATTTATTTCTATCTCTTCTTTCCCAGAAAGCCTCCGTGGGACACGCCCATCTTTATAGTTATGTATACCCATCCATGGACTTTCCAAAGTAGACCTGGGGCTTCCCAGTTCTCCTATTCTACCTACCATGTATTCTTTAGTTATTTGGTTATAATATTTTGGTCAGCTAGGTTAGTACATTATGTCATCCACATAAATGGACACAAATTCAAACTAAGCATGTATGCACAAATGTGTTTACGAAAAGCACAAGTAAAAGTGCTAAAACACTGACAGGAAACCTCGTCAAAAAATTTGCTAGCATACCAGAGGTGATTATATGGCCACTTTGTTTATGCTTAACACCATGCTAGTCACCTGGTAACGCGCTATGTAGCTCTGTGTGACTAACCAGCTCGAGATTCCCACATATAGGAAATCGTATGATTGGAGTGAAATGATAGATATGGGAAAGAATATAGTAGTCTTACTTGAATGTGTGCATAAGTATCTTCAACCCGCTGTTATGATGAGTAAGTTTGAACAGTCGCATGATTCTAATGATCGAGAAGAATTCCAAATCGGCTGATGCGCCAAATGTGTTAATTATAACATCCATGTAGAAAGTAACCGTAGCAACAATATCGATCAAATTCACTGGAGCCTGAAATTGATGATTGATCGGCGCCAAACCTTATATGTTCCTTACGAACTTGCTAAGCAAGAATTCGCTTACTTTTAAATATTCCACTCGTGAAGGGCAGCATGTAAACCTTACCAAAATTTCTATTGTGAACCATATATTGCATAATGTTTCGACCATCTGAGACAGACCAATTTCATAAAACGCGAGTAAAAACAGCTAACATCAATAAAAATACTAAAAGAATGGTTGGGGAGATGACCAAAAAGCGACAGAATGCCGAGCTGAAGGTTCGACGAGTAAGTCCGGCTTTTCCAGCCTAACTGACAGTAATTTTATCCAGTGTTAGAATATGGTGAGCTAGGGGTTGCTATGCTGTTGTCATTCAATAACTATAAACGTAAAAGCGAAACAGAAGTGTGATGTTCTTTGTGCTTTCCAAGCTAGCAGAAGCAAATGATCAACTCTTGACTCATAAGGAGGATAAATGGAGCATAATGCTTCCAACTAGAGTTAGTCGGCGGTTATTGGGAAACGAGATGATGTAGGTGATTGAGACATACATACTTAATTACTTGGATTGGATGGCCCATCTTCACTGATCGTGCGGATCCTAGCACAATTTGCATGTGCTGGTTTGGCTATTATGGTGCTCTGGAGCCTCGATGTCAGCCTAGCGGAGCCCTTTCTTAGGTCGTGATCCTCCAGACCGTCGCACCCCTGGTGGATCAGAGAGAAGTTTGCTACAATGTGACTAGTTTGATGTCAGGGTGGTTGTGATATCTGCTGTTAGTTTACTCTTAGCTGGGCTTCCGAATGGAGATCCTGCCTTGCTTGGGGCTGGGCGTGGGATGTCGCCGCGTGATACTCAAGAAAACCTCCCAGGCACGATGGGGAGACGGTAAGCCATCAGCAGGAGAGGTACATAAGAGTAAAAAATTGTTTGTCTTGGTAAAGAGTTCTATTACTAGCTGCTATCTAGAGATTTTGTTGCGGATCCTGTTAATGTTCTGTTATTTCATAACTAACCATAAATCCTGGGTGAGCTTTTGAATTTGTCTTGTCAACGTTCAGAGACGTTGGTTGATATCTATAGTGGTTAGTGCTACGGATTTCTCGTGACACGTTCACGATACCGGAAATTTCAGATATTCGCAGTCCAGGATGAGTTTTTAGACAAAATACGAGTATGGCGGTAATTAGAAAGAATACGGATATGATAGCTATAACCTGAAATTGTGTAGCGATTACGATATACTGCTAAGAAATTCAAGCAAACTTAACTATTCACCTAAATTGCAATGTAGTCACTTTTATTTACCGCCTATTCGTGTCCCTATAAAGGATAAAAAGGATAAGGCTCCCGGCGTTGATCACTCCCTAAGGGATGCGCCATGCGTTCGACTTCATTAAGTATCGTTTGGAGGTGATTGGATGCATGTCTGGCCTTCACAGTGACTCGCGGTGGCCCACCGATGCATCGAGCCAGTGCTGCTATCCTCCCAGACAAGTGTGGTACCAGTTTGCCAGCCCCGGATAGATGGAATGCTTGGTGTGCCATGGGCGCGTTGATCAATTCCACATGTGCATTGCAGGGCGCCTCCGATCACTGCTCCACACGCGCCCCTTTCATGTGTCTATACTCACCTAAATCTTGCTTATGTCTGGCACTGCTTTTTAACAAAAAACTTTTATCTTTTCTTTCCTCATTCGAGTGACCCTTCAAGTACAATATTACTAAAATCATTTCTGATCTTTTTCATGCTTTCAGTCTTAGTTTCAGGAATTCACAGTCAATTCAGAATTATAGAAAAAATGCTTTTCGGAGATTTTTGGGGTATTGTTTGCCATTTTCTTTTTTCCGCTTTCTGAACCGTAGTTTCCTTTGCTATTCCAATAATGTTGAAGGAGTTTACTTCAGATGAAGAGCGATGGATGTGCTTGAAAAAATTACAGCAGATGTAAAATGATTGAACAGATTTATCAAATGAACCTCGGTGAACCTCTTCTCTTACCTTCGCAGCACGGGACGAGCTCGGTTCGTCGAACAGCCGCCAAATTTTCGGCTTCAATTTTTGCCAACTGCTCAAACTGTCATTATGAAAGTCGTCCTCCCAACCAAATCGCTGGTAAAGTTCCTGAAGTCATAAATGAGATGAGAATGTGTTGACTGGTGAAAAGTATAGATCGGTCATTATTACGACTTGAGTTGACTACACCCGTTTCTATTCGTAGATGGAAACCATAAAAGAGGAAACGTTCGGTGTTGATTAGCCTCTTACGGATGCACCAAACATCGACTTCAATGAGCACCGTGGCGCTGAGTGAACGATTGTTTCGCCTAACGCACTTAAGCGACGTATTAAATCAGTGTTTTTACTTACTCTACTTGACTACACTAGACCTACTTTTCGACCTTATAAAAGAGAACGACTTGATGCATAATGGGCTTGAGATCGCATCAACAGCCCTATATATTGCAAGGGCACCTCTAACCACGGCTTTACACACCTGTTTGAAAAACGAGTACCAACAAAATCTTTAGGAAAAACTACATAATACCTGCTGGATCGTGTTTTTGCAGGCAAAGCCCATATTTATCGACCTACGACTGTATATGTTATGCAGAATCAAAAGCATGATTCAGTCATGCGGTAATCGCGTCAAGGAGGATTTGTACTTCAGTACTACTTTTTATCACTGAATAATTTGGGCGGACACCATTGAAATCTCTGTTCGTTCCACCCGTTTCATAGAACGGCCTAATAGAGTTCTCGTTTGAGAAACATAAATATCACCACGCTTTTCGCACGAGGTGTTTTATTTTTTCCTAGTGTTTTTGCCGAAAAGGTTGCCATGGATAGTTCGTTGGACTCTGCCGTTGTAACTGGGTGTAATTATTAGCAGTTTTTGTTTTTCTTTTGAATTTGATATGACGTGTAATTACTTGAAATCACCGCAAGCAGCTACTCACGTATCTCCTAATTATTTTACTTTATAATCCTGAAAGAAGGTCAATGCTCAAGATACTCCTTACTTGATACTTGAACGGGCCGTTCTCCCGTTCTCACTGATTGTGCGGGTCCCAGCATAGCCACCACTTTTCGGAGATTTGTTGGTTAAGCCATTGTGGTTCTCTGGAATCCCGAGGTCAACCTGGCTAAAGTCTGCCCCGGTCTTCACCACCACAGTCGCAGCCTTTGTGGATCAAGAGGAGATTTATCAACATGCGACTTTGATACCAGGACGGTGGTGGATCCCGGTATCGGTTTACTCTTAGTTAGTTTCCCTAATGGAAATTCCGGATTTTTCTCAGCTTGAGGGACCTTGCTGGAATAATGAACTCTCTGCTGTGCATCACAGTCCGATATCCAGGAACACCTCCCATCAACGATTAGGCGGTAAATCTTTGGGAGGAATGCTCACGGTACAACCTCACATTTACCGGAAAATTCAGACGCATGTACTACGTGATTATGATTGGGTTGTTCCCCTCTACGCAGCTTCACCAACAATTAGCGGATATTTTCACATGAACGAGAATCGCGAAATGCGAAACAATGCTGACATAAATTTTTCATTAGCTGTTTTCATGTTATCCTACACTCAAGCAAAATGAGACTTCGTAATGTAGGTTCTTAGGCATGGATAGTGATGCTGTTACGCTTGATTATGTCTATGGATCTCGGCGAGCCTAGCGAGTTGTTAGAGGTGCCGCCGAATAAACACGTTGTCCTTGGTTCGCTCCCAAGACCCGTGCGAACAAAGTTGTTCATCATTGCTTGGCCAATAAACGGCTGCCAGATTTGTGTGACAGGATTAAAAGTAAGCGATACAGCGGTAGATCCAGGCAAACCATCTTATTTAGGCCGAATGTAGATCAATCATCTCTACAATGTTACGAACTGTTTCGAATTCGTGGCGCATCTCTAGGAAATGTTGACCAACACCGAACGCTCTATCCTTTTATCCTTCATGTTTGATTGATGATTTCGTACACAGCATGCAAAATTTATGGATACAATGCAAAATAATCGTTTCTGCCAAGATGAAATCAGTTGACATATACTGAATGTCTGAACGAATGGTTTTAAAAACCGACAGAAACGATACTCACTGCGCCATCAGCGTTGTCGACTTCAATGTCGAGCTCATCTAAAGTTTTCAGCACTTCCTGAGTGTCCCGCGTTCCTGACAAGGTCATCCAACAACACGGCTCACATTCGTTCGAGTCTAGTCCCCAGTACTAAAATCTCACCTATATCGTTTGATTGTTTTCCCTAAGTGGTAATATATAAAACTACTGTATAAATATATTTCCCACCTCAAGAGTTGATATGGTCTAAAATGCGAGGCCATAGAAATCGTTATGAGCACTTGTTGTTCAGTGCACAACAAAATTAGTAGGAATAATTTTACTTGTAAAGACCTATGCTTCTTTTACACTGTCCATTGCATGAATTCACTATCTCCCCATACAATTCCACATCTTGCGCCTACGATTTCTCAACTAATTTACTAGATATTTCAAAACCGACCTTCCTTTGACCTCGGTACGACCAATCGATATGTATTCTTTCTTTGATAAGCTCTTTGTAAGCTTCTTGTATTATCAATCTCGTGTAAGGTTATCGAAGAAAGTGCATATTAATTTATTAGACTCTCGTCTCTCACTTCTCAATAACCAGTACCACAATCGCGTATGTATCTCTCTCTGTTAGCTGCTTATGTGGTTTTGACGATAATAAGAGAAGCAAGAACACTGCAGTTTTTGACGTTAATAGTAAAGGGCCGGTTCCTTTTGCTTAGATTGCCCTAATGATTACATCGATGTGAAATGAGCAAGCATAAGCTCCGTCATGAACGCGTTCGCCGGTAGCGCAACTATGTTTAATCAAGCTTGTTGTGGACTGGAAAATGATTATTAGTACTTGGATTGGTGACAGCTGCGCTACTACTCTCAAAAGAAGCCAACAGAAGTACTTGTCCATGTTCGATGTTACTTCCTCTTTACCCGAATCCATTGAAAACTGGAGATGATTAAATTTACACCTCTGAAAGGGTCATATTCACCCTTGAAACGGTTCATCTTCCCACCATCAGTTGAGACACAAAATCACATGCATGTAAGCTCAGGACTGCTTTTGGCGTACATATCTACATCATCGACAGAGATTTTCTTGTCTAACCCTATGATGTGAGCAGTGAAAATGGTGATCGACGTGAGCGAAAAAAGCTGTGAAAGTTGTGCCTACATGGTAGTCAAAGAACATTTCTATCCTACTGTCAATAAATACCATGGTTCTCAACCGTTAAAGACAAGTACCCTGGGAATGAGCAGTTTCTGCACATTTGTTGCATAGAAACCTTTCTCGATATTTCCTGGAAAGAGACCTACGAATTCCATACCATGCTATTCCATTTATGGGCATTGTTGCACACTACACGATTCAAGAAATATGTCTCCTTATCGAAAGCAATGGTTATAGGATTCTCTATCTCAAATCGCATTCTCCATTTCTCAGCCCCACTGAGAACATGTGTTTCCAATGTAAAGGGTGTGTGCTACATAGAAGAGCAGAAAATGACGTGCTTTTATAAATCCTGATCAACAACGGAACAGATGTTCAGACTGTCAACGACTACAATATCTTCCTTAGTCATGTAATGACTTGTTTTCCTCGTCGCTTTATTTACAGTTCTTCGAATTACTTTCGATGAGATGGCATGAGGTTAAGATTGTTAACACGCATCTTTGATTTTACATGGTTACTTCCTCGGCAACCTCACCTTCCCCAAAGCCTAGAAATATTTATACAGCCCTATTCTTATCATACTCCAATATGCTCTTCTCCAATTTACGTGAGAAAGCCTCAGCCCGGTTATCTGCAAGATTTCAAGAACAATTGGCTCGAACAGCATTCTACGATATTCATAAAGAAGACAAAATCCTCACGCAGCAGCTGAAGAAACGCGCAATGTTGGAAGAGCATTGTGGACAATGAGTGCGAGGAAAACGAATCCAGCGGGAGACGTGCTGAGATTCGCACAGTAGACTTGGCGTGTAAAGTAAAAATGAATGTAGATAAAAATGCTCTTATCATTCGTTTAGTATTTCCAAGGTTGACAAGAATATAATCCATAAACCAAACGCTAACATGTTGAAAAGTAGCCGTAGTCTCTGTTTTCTAAAAAGTGAGGAATCGCTTGTTATTCATATGGGATGGTGGATGGATAGCTTAGATTTTCACTATCTCAACACTTTTGAAATGATTAACATAAGGGAATTGTAAGGCACGAAGGTCTGAAAAAGACGAAGTCTATAAAACGTCAACTATGGGGAATTAGGGATGCGAAATTAGATATAAGAATACACTCGTGTGAGCCGCCCCAGGTCAGTTCGTAACACTAAAATAAGTTGATTATTAATGTGGAGGTTAATTGAAAGTTGTCCCCTAAGTCATTCCCAGAGGTTCAAGCTTTTTGTTTGACGCCTATTCTTTTTTCATGCTAGGTTCTGATGTGAAATACAGCCAGAAGGATGCTGAGATATTAGCAAAATTCGGAACCTCCGTTGTGCTTCGAACTCGCGACTAACTTTTGGTTCCGAGTTTCGCTTGTATTTGAGTACCCTTATAACCGCATTGCCAAAAGATTGTTGACCAATATACGATTGCTGGTGGGTAATGATAGGGTCGGCGGTAGGCAACCGCACCTTCATTTTGGTAAACGAGAGATCCGTTCAAGCTCAGCGAAATAGATATCCTCAAATGTTACAAGTATCTGTACCTACGTTGCGAAATCAACATGGTGAAATGCTGAGCTGCAGAGCTGGACAGAAAGAAGCGAGTAGCTCGGGGAACTGTAAGCAGCACCGTGTGCGCACAGTGAGGAAAGCAAAAAACATTCTACTCTACGCCCATCTTTTCGATTCTACCATTCTCCCTGTGCTTAACCTACTCGTCGAACTGCGTGAGCAAAATAATAGATTTTCCAACGCCATTGAACGTGCAGACGACATAGGATATCAGGTACCACGCAAGTAAAAGATGTCCAAAATCAGAAGTTCCAGCCTACGTCGAAGTAGAATGTTGAAAATCAGGATGGCCAGACGACATATGATGCGTCAAAACGACAACCGATAGACAAAGGTTGTGAGCGACAGAATTCCTCGAATTTCAAGCGCACTGTAGAGACCGACAAGAATTCTTGATGAATTTTTAAGAAGAAAATATGATGCTGAACGAAACCCTAGAGCAAAGGGCCGCTGCTGCAAGCAACGCAAACAATTGGAGACTTTGCTGGCGCCTATTTAGGTAGCGCGACAATCAACAGGATATACGGTACAAATGGATATTCTTGCTCCTGAAAAACATAAGCGCATAGATGAGGTAATGCTCAAAACTAAGACCCCTGCATTCCGATTGATTGGTTTGCACCCGCCATTTGTACAGGTGATGAGGTCGTTTATGAGCTCGGCTGCAGGTTCAGGATCCGTTATCTTTTCTCCTCGTCAACTATTGAGTGATAACTGAGGTTTTCCGTGAGTAGAGATGGCCGTAATATGGATCTGTAGGTCCTCACTATAGGCACTCATCGGCGATTCTTCACTATAGGGAATTTCGCTGTATTGGAAAAAGGTTTCTTCTACAACGAAAGCGATTTCCGAAGTCAAATCACCAAACGGTGTAGAAGATCAAGGTCCCATTAGTAACTTTATACCAATTAGTACGGAATTATTAAATCTGTGTACACCTAGTGAGCATTAAAAGGGTAAAACAAAGAATGAAGCTCTCGGCGTTGATCAATCCTTGAGGGATGCGCCATGCATTCGACTTCATTAAGCATCGTTTGGAGGTGATTGAATGCATATTTGGCTTTTGCAATGACTCGAGGTGACCTACCGATGCATCGAGGATGAAGCTCTCGGCGTTGATCAATCCTTGAGGGATGCGCCATGCATTCGACTTCATTAAGCATCGTTTGGAGGTGATTGAATGCATATTTGGCTTTTGCAATGACTCGAGGTGACCTACCGATACATTGAGCCAATGCTTGTATCCTCCCAGACAAGTCTGGTACCAATTTGCCGCCCTCGGAGGAATAGTAGGCTTGGTGGGCCGTGGCCGCGGGAATAGTTTCGCGTGTGTTGCAGGGCGCCTTCAAGCACCCGCTGCGCCACACGCATCCAATGAATATTTGTGAACGACAATGTGAAAACTAGCGGGAAGAAAAAAAAGAGTACAAAAATCTGAAAACCTTAAGGTAACACTCTCATTTTCTTTGCAAAAAAAGGACTTGCTGCTGCGAAAAAAGAAAGCACTCGAATCAGGTTCGTCCAATGCTTCCAAGTTCTATTACGGCTCTTAAATATCTACGAAGTCCCTCCCCTGTCAATGTATTAATGGTAACAGGCGACTTCTCAATGATTGCTTCTTAGACCTGTCGATAATCAATCTCGCAGCAAATGTGTTTGAACGGCTCGAATTTCAACTTGTGTAACGAATGCCAATTGGTTTTGTCGTTCTCGTACGTCGTCCTTGTCGTTCTGTCAATGCATTAAAATCACCACACAGCTTTGGGAAACGTGGAATTTCTTTTTTGACAACGAGAACAACACAACGTAACGATGACAAGCTTGAAAGGACTGGTGTATCGACTTGGTTACTGCAAAATGGAACACCGTTCAAAGAAGCTGTTGAATGTTTCGTAGTACTCACGTCATATACTAATTACTTCCAGGCTGACTAGGAAAACTTCTGTAGTACCTTTGTAGGAAAACCCTTGTAAAACTGCAAAAGCACTCAATAGGGAAACGTTCTGTAAAATCTGTCCAATTCAGACGCTGCATTAAAGTGGACGTTACAGTGTGTGCACCACTCAAGTAGATTCGACTAGATAGGACAACGTAGAGCTACATCGTAAGGACGAACGAATGTGGACCGTCGAAACGGATCAGTCGACACTGAATAAGGCGAGGGGGCCAAAACGTTACCTGCATAAAGTTTGATACTAACCACCTGTTAGCTTGATAATCTTAGAGAATATTGACTACACATACCGAATTTAGATGACGGTTGCTTTTTTGAAAATAACACTGCTTGTGCTCTCCGGCTTGCCCTTTTCTGTTTGTAATAAACTCAGTTAATCTCAACAGTAGGTACTCATCGCCCTTCAGCTACTTAACATTGATCTTTAATCCGCATGCAACCTCTGTAGATTGGCAAATTTCACTATTCGATTAGTGCTATATTATTTGTATAAAATGACTTGAATTAGGAACTGTGCAGCAGTGGGTAGTGGTGTCCTGTAACACACAAGTTGCTAGGCTCGATCCTTTGCGCCGAGCAAACTATGTCCTTCACCTCTTCGCGGTGAGCAGGTGATACAGACTTGCCTACGAATACGAAAACACCAACTCTGTTCACCCGTAGGACATCACGAGTCATTATGTGGATCAGGTATGTGCTCGTAATCGTCTCTACGACGCTTAATGAAGTCGAATGTATGGTGGATCCCTTATGGATTGATCATCTCTGAACACTTAGTACTTTATCGTTCATGCTGCGTTCCTGTAATAATTCTATTCAACAAACAATTTGTTCACTAACAGATAGGGTTTACATTCGACTTTATCGACCTGCACAGTTGTCCATTAGACTCCGCTTGCTCAAGAGGCACGAACGCCATCACACTATTAAACGCTCTATCTTCGCTGGTTTTTTGGAAAATGGTAGCAAAGGCTAGATCGTCGGCTTCTTCCATGATGACTGCACATATTTAAATCGGTAGTTTTCAAACACTAGGTGTACGTGTTGAAACACAGTCTAGAGAGCCTCCAACGTATTCCACCCGTCACTTGAGCGAAGCCTTCTGCTTGAATAAACGTACTAGATAAAGTCTACATAGTGTTAATCATATTTAGGACATTCACTGAATAATCTAGGAAATCTAAATCCAAGTATCACGGTTTTCTTCGATCCTAGGTTAATCTTAGATCGGTAACTTAAAGACACGCTAGGTAGCCGGGCAACTAATTGGCTCGAAATCTCTCACATAAGAGAGCCCATGGAATACTTGCTCACTTGGATACCTGGATGGTCCATCCTCAGTGGTTGTGCAGACTCCAGCATAATCCCCATTTTTTTCGGAGTTTTCCTGGTTTAGCCATTGTCGTTCCCAGGAGCCTAGGTCAGCCAGGCCAAAGGCTTCCCAGGTCGTCACCATCACAGGAAGTCGCCGCACTTGTGGATCAGAGGGAGGTTCGCCACCGCGCGACTAGTTCGATACCAAGACGGTGGCGGGCCCTGGTATCAGTTTACTTGTAGCTGGGCTTCCCGATGGAAACACCGGACTCATTCTCAGCTCGGGATACCCTACCAGGTGGATGAATCCCCGCTGTACGTCGTAGTCCAGGAACACTCAAGAACATCTACCAGCCACGATGAGTTGCTAAACCATTGGGAGGAGTCCATAGAATGGTGTAATAAAATACGTGGCCATAAATATTTTATGTAATTACGATAGGATGATAAAATGTTTCAAGTACTAATTAGACGATGTTGATAAATATCATTACAATGGAAAGCAACATCTCACCACAAATATACCTACATACATAATATACAATATACAAATAATATACAAATATAATATAAAATATAAAAAATTATAATAAAATAAAAATATACAAATATACAAATATAAACATCACAAATACAAAATAAACAAATATAAAAAATATAAACCCAACATGATGTTCTACTTCTCACCCGAATAGCGCTAAAACTGGAAAACCCTAGTGCTTTAAAAACTTTCATAAGCGGTAAGTGAGCAAAGCAACCATAATTCTCATAAAATTCACGTACATTTGAATAATAATATTGACGCCAATGGCTGTTTTTCAACGCCACCGCTCTCAAAGGTGATAATTTTAGATATCCAACAAACAGCAGAAAAGTACATTAGTTTGTAGGTCCGAGTTTGAGCCGTATTTGGAACAAAATGTCATCGACGTCTTAAAAAATTCTATCATCGACGTCTTAAAAAATTCTATAGGGTGAGTGGTTTTCCAGAAAAAAACCCTTTCAACGAAGGCCAATATGGTACATTTGCCAGAAAAATGTTAAGACGAAAGAAGAAGAAGAACAAAACCCTAGTAGTTCAACTTTTTCCTTCTTCAAGTTTAATATTTTTCTAGGGTTTTCTCTTAGCTCCTAAGTTCCCAGCCAATACTGCGCGACTTTTTCTTTGCAGAAACTTTTCCCCCATGGAAGGCGTTCGCTTTAATAAAGTAACGCTCGAAATTAGCAAAGTATGAAAGCAAACTCAACAAGCCCTATTACCCAAGTTCTGCTACGTTAAGCAAGCTCCTCTTTCGTAAACTAATTTGTCTGTAGGAATAGAAAAAATTAAAAAATACTCACCTTTAGCTCTTCCTCGAATAAGGGCCCACACACATCTAATGGATAATGAAGTTTTCCAGTACGATAATAATTTAAAATCTGTGAAAAAACGCCAGGATGTCGATCGAAGAAATATTCATTGAGAACAGGATCGTAATTGGCTAGGTTTGTCGTCAGCCGTGATAGTCTGGAACTTTTTCAAGATGTTAAATAGAAAACCGCCCATGTTGCGCAGTGGTCAGTGGTGCCCTGCAACCGCAGTGTGTTGGTTCACTCTACTTTGCAGAGCAAACCAGGCCTCCATCTCACCGGGGTGTGCAATTTGGTATTAGACTTCTCAACGAAAATTAAACACACTGATTTTATGCCCCGCTAGACACCCAAGCGCCACTGTATTGGCCGAAGACGCATCCATTCACCCTTGCGACGTTAGGAACGGTGTCGAATGCGTGACACATACCCAAGGGATTGGTAAACACTGAATGCTTTATCCTCTTTATTTTCTTATGAAACAGAACTTAATTTATTAGACGAATGTTGAAGATTTAAACTTTGCGTTCTTTTCGCTTTTCAAAGTTGCTTTTTCATCGAAGAAGTTCAGCGAGACACAGCAATTCGTAAATTGCGAACTGCTTCATTGTGATCCATTGTCTATGCAGTGCACATTGCTTTCAGGAGATGACCTTCTTCAATGGACGCCATTCTATTCTGCTCACAACAGCTATGAAAAACATTGTTTGCTGCACTGCTCTCCTTCCTTTACATTATTATTCAACAACTATAACACCGGACGGCATGAAAAAGATCTATATGTACATCGGGAATCCATAAATCTAAAAATACAGTAAAAAAATAGATTGAACTCGTTTTATTTAGAAATGAATAAACTGAAAAGTGTATTCTAAGGACTAGGATGGGTGCTGGTAGCGCGGGCCTATAATAGCACTGGTGTGTTACGGAAAAGAAGAGAGATTGAGCTACGAAGTGAATTTTCGGAACAAAGTTTACATAAGGAAAAAGACGAAAAAAACAAGTGAAAATGAAATAAGAAACTAAGATCGATAACTCACCTGGTGGCAGGAATTTTTTTCAGTGTATGCTTATAGGTTTCATGTCTAACACCACCAACATTAAGTATTACCCTATATTCAGAATCCATGATGGCGTTTCTGAAACACATCCATTTTCAGGAAACATTAATGTATAGCCTTTAAGCACACTGGAAAAAAATCAGAAACGGTGGAATAACCAAGGAATTCACAATTTGTGATATTACCATTCAGTGGAAAATTAGCACTCGGAGAAAATCTTCAAGATAATCCTCACTGTAAGCTAAAATTATCTAAGACTTCTCCGCGCTCTTCACGCTTAAAAAACGACGTTGACAAGGATAAACATGTTTCTGTTTGTCTTTTCACCAGACTCTAGTGGGACCTATCTACTTGGTTGTGCGCGTGTGGCGCAGTGGTTGGAGGCGCCCTGAAACACACACGTGGAATCGATTCCCGAGCTCATGGTTCGCCAAGCCTTCCTTGCCTCCGGAGTCGGCGAATTGGTACCAGACTTGTCTGGGTGGATAGCAGCACTGGCTCGATGCATCGGTGGGTCACCGCGAGTCATTGTAAAGGCCAGATATGCATTCAATCACCTCCAAACGATACTTAATGAAGTTGAATGCATGGTAAATCCCTCAGAGATTGATCAACGCCTAGAGCTCTATCCTTTATCCTTCTATCTATTTGACTGTCTATGGGCCATGAGACATATCTTTTGGTCTATACAACTGTCTGCTTGTCTGAGCGTCTACTCCTGTCACATGAATACAAATTCTCTTGTCTTTTCATCTGTATCCATTAAAGACACCTTAGAAACGGTAAGCAAGTAAAGAAAAGAATTAAGAAATAAAAATGAAAGTATTTGATTAAGTACAAGTACTTCTTAGGAAAATTGTTATCAAAGCCATACTGACTTACTTTTACGGAAAAAAGCATTAGTTCTATATTCTCTTGATACCGTAAATAGATGCAAAGGCACTACGACTTTCTATGTGTCATTGGGCTATATTAATATTTAACATGTACATTCAAAAAGAAAGAAACAGTGTTTTTATAAGAAATAGTTTCAGATATTTAGTGTAAGTGAAGAACAGCCAGTCGATATTTCCCAGATGTTGAAAAAAGTAAGGTGAATGAACTACTAGGTGAAAGCAATTACTAGAAAGTCAGTGTAGAAAAAGAGTATCAGGATAAAAGGAAAATATAATTTGAAACCAATGAAGATATGGTAAGAAATATGAGATATAATTGACAGTGCACAGATCTCTTTCACCGAAGGTTCCATGGACACGGTGATCCTGGTATTCGTCTTCTTATTTCGCCTTGATATGCAGTCAATCCAACGGGTTTACCTCATACAGAGATCTCATACCGGTTATCCTCGAGGCTAACTAGCGCTTTCCTTAGTGTAAGGTGTTAAGCATGGACGCAAAACGAATGTGCGCGTCTTTGAGGCTTAGCTTGTTTGAGGAGGTAAACTACCTCTTTTTGCCGTGAGAAGTACATGGGTGGAGTTTTGCAATCGCTTCCTACAAATAAGCTTCGTTGTTACTGTGAAAGAGACTAAGAGTGAGTACAGAGAATACCCATGAAAAAATTAGGAGAGTTATTTAAAGGTGCTAGTGACCAAACACAATAAAATAAATGGTCCCCATTCCCATCACACTTGATAAGCCCTTATTATAGCATAAACCACTTATTTCTAGGGGTGAACAGGAAAGCGGCGGGTTGGAGAACTTTCAAGAGCATCATGGTTGCAGTGAAGAGAACTAGGAACTTCCAGTTTCATGTCCACTTTTGATGGTCTGATGCTTCTTGCCCTAACGAATACTATGCATCGATGGTTTCTTCGCTACGTTAGCAGCATGAAAGATCATTGAGCGCTATTGAAAGCGCAGACGACTGGACGACGCTAAATTTTTCTTGCATCACATCATGGAGACAGGGAATGCGAAGATTCGATCTAAGCCAACGATCAAAAGTCAGAGAAGTTGGGCACGTCACATGTGGAAAATCAAGTGAGGCGGGCATTATTGTGATCCTCAACGACTACCTATGGAGCAGAGTCGTTATCGACTAGGTGCAACGGGATGCCAAGCGCAAAGCAGGAAGGCAAACGACACAGCAAAAAGAATTTTTCACGACGATCCTAAAAGAAAGATATGATGCTCAGTCATTCCCTAAAGCAACTAGAATTCATTGGCGTACTCTTGTACCCAACAGATACAAGTGGAAATTTTGCTGATGCTCGCTGAGGTCATTCGACGAGCAACAAGGGGGGTGATGGCGCAAGTGTTAACTATCGGAAACATTTTCGTCAATTACTCAAGTAATCTAAAGAAAAACACTTCTGTGAATAGCAATAGGATAGCTATTTTAAGGCAACTGGGCTAATTTCTTACGATTTTGTCACCCATTTTTATTAAAAGTAAATCATCATCGTATAAGGGATATTTCCAAAAAGAAGTACTTATTAAACAGACAGGTGAAGAACTCGTACGATTCAAAACGTTAACGTTCTAAAATTTCCGTATTTGGGTTTTGTTTTCCTCTAATTGTTGCTCGATTTTCTTCAGAAACAAACAAAAGTGGAATGTTAACATTTTATTCACTGCCTTTTACAATTTTCACGGCAGGGTATAATGTGTGACTCACCACAACGATGCTGAGATATTTGCAAAACCCCGGACCGCAGATGTCTGCGGTGGGAACGAACGCGCTGTTACCCTTTCCGGGGAGTAACGCGTTCACCACCACACCAAGCGAGTTCATCGTTTCGCCTCTCTCTCAGCTAGTTTTCTATCGATCAGTTTCATCAGTGATCACCCGCAAAAGTGGAATATGTTTTTCTTTGCAACTTAAAAGCAATGAATAACAACTGTACAGGACAAGGGTGATTTGATCAAATCGACTTCTTCATAGTAAGTAAGAAGAAAAGAAAATTTAGAAAAAGCCTAGAGAAAAAACCAAGCACAAAACAAGAATAGTCTGGACCGAAAAATGGTTTTTAGGCTTACTTAAATGTTTTATAATTAGACACAGAAGAAACGAAATGGAAAACGGTTACGGGTCGACCTGTGATTTAGCGATTCGTTTTTCCGCTTCTATTGACAAAACTCCGAAAATGTCTCTATTCTATGTGTGATTCGCTTAGTTCTATCATGAAACCACAACCCTATGACGATACTTCAGATTTGATATCGATTTTTACTGTCCACAGCAATAACGCGGAAATGTCACTGTTAACATCTTGTCGATCGTTTGGAAACGGTAGAATCGTTGCGGGACACACAATTCCGCCTGTATTTTCGATGAAAGAAAGGCATAACAACAAAAACGCAGATGCAAATCTCGAACCATAAAACTATTCACAAGTGTACACGTCTAAACAATTCTATTCAGAAATGTTTTGTTTTTAGTGCGGCAGATGTTCTGCAGCCAAAATGAACATTGGTTGCAGAACTGCAAAAAAATTGACTACTTAGATAAATCGATATTACAATGTTTGCTTTTTATTTGCTGCCTACTTCAAATTGTCACGACTGGTTTCAAATAAAAAATAAACATTGTGATTTCAACTACAGGCTCAGCTTAGCTGGAATTGATGCCGATGTGAGCTCCCCAGACCAATCCCGTTGATGGATGATTGCTAATAGCAAAGATCGATAAAACTATCTGAGAGACGGACGAAACAAGGGACCAGCATGGTATGGTGGTGAACGCGTTACTCCTCGGAAAGGATAATAGCGCGTTAGTTCCCCACAGCAGACACCTTCGGTCCGGAGTTTTGCAAATATCTCAGCATCTTTGTGGTTGTAATTCGATATTAGTTCTTTTTTCATGAGGAAACCTTCTGACTACTTATACAATCAAAAATACACCTGACTGAAAGAGAAAAGTTGAAGTTTATTGTTTCATCGTGAAGGAAGTTGACTGACTTCATTGGAAGCGACTGCAACTGAAGTCGATTACAAAGTCGTACACCCCTGAATATCAATGATAGAAGAACGCGTAAGTGTATGCCTACACGTCGCTGCCCACTTTTTTTTTTACCTTAGCGCCAAGATTAGGAACTTTTTAATTAATGCTCTTTGCAAACTTATTGGTTTATAACTAGAGCTTGTTAGGGTTTCTTGATGCCGAAATGCGGATTCGTGCCACAAAGATCTCCCAGTATCAGGAGAACCTCGACATTTCCATTCCGAAGTCTGCCCAGGCTGCGGCTATGTATTCTCCAAAAAAACGGTGACTGGTGAAGACTTATACTCTCCATTTATTTAGAAAAGAGGGATTCCACTACGAAGCTCGGGTGTTTAGTGGGAATGAATAGAGTTTATGGGTGCAGGCATGAGTTAGTCGGTGATTATCGAGATTATAAGTGATACAGGTGATCTCATCCGGAAGAATATAATTATCCGTAAAACGGATTCATAACGCCTTTATAATGTTAGATGTGGACATATGCCTTATTTACCTATTTACGTCCGTGTAATTGCTGGCTTCCAGGAAAAAATAAAGAGCGAAGCCAAACTAAGCCAGATTCGGTCCATTTCTGCAAACCAGAAATGAGAGCCTGAGGGTGTACAAAGATACTGTGTTTAAAATAACCGAAACAAAAACAAAATCCTTGAAGAATTAAGCAGACAGAGTTTTCGACATAAAGTATCACAAATAGAATGCCAGGACCGCACAACTGTCAAGAGCGTAGGTAGGATTAAAACGGTTGTTGCATTACATTACTTTTTTTTACTTTTTCTTTTCTTCTCATTGAGCAGCAGGTATCAGTTAGAGATAAGTAGAAGACCTTATAAGAAGCTTTATATTTTAGGCTTTTAGCACTACTCAAACATTATGTGAAAGATAATTTTTGAAAGAAACTGAATACAAAGTCGGAACCTTCGAATCGATGTCAAAAGTAGAGTTCTTTCTTCGAATATCATAAGATTTGTTAAGTTTTACAGTCTATAAGTAGAGTGATCGCCATCTTATTTTTTTTTCTGTTGTTCGACAATATAGAGAAATCAACAACGTTTTCAAGTTGAACATAGCCTAAAAAAGCTTATGATGATTAACAGTCCCTTAAGGATGCGTCATGCATTCCACT